AAGAAAGCTGAAAGCGAATAAGCTGATGCTTCAACTTTACCTAAGTATCAGTTTCATAAATACGGAAGCTTTACCAAGCATCAACTTAATAGATGGGAATGTCCTTTGCTTGTAACTGGTTTTTCGCTTGCTTAAACTTATGAAGCTGATGCTTAGGTAAAGCTGAGAGCTCTGAGCTTTAACTAAGCACCAACTTTACTGATGGGGATCTCCTCTATTGGTGGCTGCGCTTTTTTGCTTTTACTTTCTTGTTTGTGCTTTTTTCTTGCTCTCCTCCTTTCCAACCATCACTCCCTCCCCTCTCCCTTACGTGACCTAGGCAACAGCCAAAGGACCTACGTCACGTAGCCATTCTGTGCAACTACCCAACCCACTCTCCCAATCGGAAAAGAATTATGAAATCTGCAAAGTGCACTCGCTTTCTCTGCGATAAAAATGAGTGTTTGTCGTACCTGCCTGCGGGGAATTTCAGACTGAATTAAGACCATACGTGAAAGTAGAATATCTTAGTGAAGTTCAGCCTCGCACCTTATCCGGTAAGCGAAATAGCCACTTTGTTACAAATATGTTTTAAGTGCCTTAAGTCGTGGTGCAAGTGCAAATCGGAACTCAGTGATATACGCTTTCCCATATAGACGATAAATATTCTGACAGAATTGCAGCAACTTTTTTCCGGCTAGTTTTCGAGCTAGCACAATGCCAATTATAAAATTTGACGTGAGCATATGCACGGCGTAAGCGTGCGCAACAGCTGAATTTGAAATACAAGCACACGGAATATTTCTGCAAAGTTTCAGCCTTCTGTCTTGTCTGGTTCCGAGAATCGTTCCCCGCCAGAAAATTTTGCATAATTTTTTGGGTGGTACATACGCGGGGTCTAGCGCGTATGAGCGATGACTTTGAAGTGGAGGTGACACGTAGGGTTAAAATAGCCTTCCAGTTTTCCTGGTTGCTGAGTTGAAAATGGGTCAGAAAGTTCTTGCTTCCGAACGTACACACACGTCGACCTCTCGATAATGGGCGTTTTTGCTTACCGTAGCGAGCTTTAGCGCTGGACGGCAACAACTCATAAAAAAGTAAACAACAGCAGGCTAATGTGAGCTCTGCGCTTGAACTTTCGACACAGGATTATTGAAATCTGGATTTATATCACTAACACAGAATATCAGAGTACTTTCCAGATTGTC